TATGAAAAGCCACTCATTTTGCAGTCAGTAACGACTAGTATACTTTACTTAGTAGTTATTCATGCCTGTTGACCTCTATTAGTTATTAAAAGGTTTTCAACATGGTCAAGTATAATAATATCTGTCACTTTCAACCCTCGCTTGTATTTCATTAACTAAAACTGATTAATAAAACAACCAATCATGTCCTGTATTCTCGTTACTGTGATACATGTACCAACCAATCACGTCCTGTCTCTTTGATTTCAATACATGTATCAAGAACGTGATACATGTACCAGACACATGTATCTTGTCACTTTCTTTACAAATACATGTTTAACAAACCTGTATTTAATTGAAAGCATGTATTTAAGTACACGTTCCAAACGCCATTACATGTTTGATACTTGTACAATACATGTATACTACACGTATTTTTGACCGGTATTTTACCCCATAGTTTTCGCCGCCATCTTGAAAATATTTAAACGAGAGAGACTGTGGACGAGTATTTAGGTTCCCAAAGCACGCTGGGTCCAAGTTTTCGGGACCCATAGGTCCTTTCGGTCATTGTACCGTTACAGTCTCTAAGCGTGGAGACGGAACGGACGAGCGAGAGACTGTGGAAGAGTCTACACTACGGCCAATACGGAATAGAATAGCCTCCTCCGCAGATAACTATTCGCCACTATTCGCTACTATTCACACACTTTTCGGGTTTTATCCCCTACCAGAGTCTAATTAATGTAATACTTCAAGGTAAATGAACGAATTGTCTACATTATCCGGCAGCTTTTGATTTTCATGAAAAACCACATCCAATAATAAGAGATAACTAGCTAAAAACTAGTGTGAGCTGCGTCGGTGTTTCTAATGAAACAGTAATGATAAAAGGGTAAATTTAACACCGTGAAAAGATGAAAAAACGCTAGTCCTTCGTCGGAGCATAGTTAATTAACTATGGTCGGAGTAAAAGAAGTACTAGGGTATTACTCCGACGAAGGACTAGCGTCCGAAACGTCAGTCAGTTTTTTCATCTTTTCACGGTGTTAAATTTACCCTTTTATCATTACACATCCAATAATATTAAACTTTCAGGGATTCGAAGTCTTCTAATTTTGTTTAGAACAGGGAATCGCTTCTTAGGAATTGAAAGCTACACATATTCCCCGAGACTCGGCATACTATAGCAGAGTAGGTCCCGGGCATCTATAACACTTCGGTAAATAATAGGTATTACACGGTACAATCAAGGGGTACGAGATTGTCTCTCTCTTTCTCAGCTTGTAATTCATGATCCCGTTCAAAACTCAGAATTTTTTTCTGAGTCTTTCCATTTGCAGCTGCGGATGCGAGGGGAAATAGAATTCGAAACTGCATTCATGCAAATAACTGTATACGTACCAGTACAGCAGTGAAATCGCAATTTTTCAGCTTGTTTGCATCAAAATTTTGCCTGCTATCCAATCTGCCTACTATTTGCAAAATAGTTTGTATGTCTAAGGAAAAGGAGAGCATATAAGACTTTAACTACTTATTTCCCAATATATATGTAATTGTACTTCCGCCCAAAGTCTGCCTGAGGTAAGAATGGTATCAAACGGTAGAATCAAGTGTCCTCCCTCCCTTTCACAGCTTGTAAAACTAGTTCTGAGGCAAATAACACTGTCTATACGTACCAGTACAACAGAGAAATCGCGATTTTCCAGCTTAGTTTTCATCAAAATTTTGCCTATAGTTGGGTTTAAAAGTGAAAGCAGTTCTTTGAAGTCCGATGACGATCGACATCGAGCCGTATTGTATTCAAACCAATTAAATTCGTGCTGGCTATCATGTGATCGTCTGTGTAGTGCCGAGTATCAAAACAACGAGAGCAAGTGTGAACCAGGAAGGTTAGAACTGTGCGGTTTTCTCGGGGAGAACTTAATTTCCAAGGAAAACAAACAGGAAAGTCGAGTACTTGTAAGTTGATCACTTAGAGACTACATTAATCTAGTTAAAGTTTTGTGCTATTTCTAATTTGTCTCGAATAAGGAGGGAAAATATCGTCCCAATGGCGGGTCGGGTAGTTTCTATCGATGTTATTTATTAATTTCGAATCAAGATAAGTAAATTTGACTAGAAAGTCTAACATCCTAAACACATTTGCCTATCAAAAGTGTTAAAACTATATTTAGAAGTGTAGAAGCGATTGGAATTATCATTCTTGTGCTAAAAATCAGGAATACTACGTACTCGATACGACTCAAGTGACCAATCCAGAAATAATATTTTACAGTTTTCCATAGAGCGGTTTTCGTATGAGTGGGAATCATACAATCTGATTTAGAGTACATGCAAGCATGGTAGACTATGACGTGCCTTAACATTGAAATGGCTTCCCGAAAACCACTCTATCATTTCGTGACGTACACGACTTGCACATCTTGCACAGACATATCACTATAGTACAATACATATAGATTGATTCCAAGGTGTGATAGCCTTTGATGGACATGACATTAACGTAATTTTGGGCGAAAGTTAAGATACACAATTCTTTTTTATCCCAATTTACCTTGCTCTCAATTTGTAACAACAACAACTTTATTCGTACCACTCTTATCAGAATTTACAGTATTTGTTGATATATATCCCGGAGTAGTCAATCGATAAAAATCGATATCGATAAAAATCGATAGAAATCAGCTGATTTGTATCGATTTTTATGGGAAATCGTTTAAAATCGATAAAAAAAATTGGTGTGAGTTCGATTTTTATCGATTTAATCGATTTTTATCGATCAAGATTTGACAGCTTTAATTCGATCCAATTATGAGTACAATCATATAATCAGCTTTATTTCACGGAAAGTATTCGAAAATATCGATGATAGTGCAATAGATTTCATAACTATTAATTCACAAGTAATTATATGTAGATCAGGCAGCTAATTATCCAAGTACTTTTGCTGTCTGTTCGCTGATCACTATAACAAACTCCTAGTTTGTGTCAAGCTATGGTTACGAAAGAGTAATTGCCGGTGGTGTAAATCCGTAGCCACACGGCCATCACGGAAATTGTTCAAGAAAATAAATTGAAAAAAATCAATATGTATATAATCAATCAATCGATAAAAATCAATACAAAAATTTAGTGTGAGTTCGATTTTTAACGATTGATCGATACAATCGATATCAATCAAATCAGCGGTATCGATTGTTATCGATTTATCGATCGGCAAAATCGATATCGATTTTTATTGATTGACTACTCCAGGTATATATACAAAATAGATAATTGAATAAATCTAAATAGTATAAAAACACAGTTATTTATAGTATATATACTAAGGCAGATACTCCGATGAAAAGACGGTACAGGTTGTCTGTAATAACGACAGGACTAAGTAAAAACAGACAGAAGAGAAGACTGTTGGAGAAGACTGAAAGTCACAATTTTCCATCTTTCTCTTTCATACAAATTATACTCTACACTTGGGGCTGGGAGTGATTGCATATTCTCCCACAATAAATAATAGATATAATAATTGTTTTTTAGAGGTTTACATGAAGAATAACCCTCAAAGCAAAGGAGAGAACCAGACCTTGAACATTTTTCAACAACATTAGATCCGGTAAAATTTACTTTATTTAGCTGTATGACATTTAAAACTTCAAAAATGAAAACACTTTATTCTAATTTTATATAATCTCTTTATAATTAATTATCAAACATATAATTTTCTTAATAATATCCATATGCACCTTTTATCTTTTTTTTCAGTTCTGCATCAAAATGCAGTCCTCAATAATAAAAGAAATCTCATCTAAAAAATATATAGCAGAAAAACTTGAGAAGTTGGTGTCTGAAAGGGAAGAGATGAATGATGCAAGTTTAGATGCATCAAGATATAAAGGAGATGTCTGTAAGTTTCTTGAAAGTTTACCAGAAGATGAATTCATAAAGATTCTTGGGAGACTGGTTAAAGAAATGCAAGAACCTGAAGGGTATGGTGGTAATTGTCCCCAAGATTTAGAAAACCAAGATGCTACAGATAAAAGTAATCTTGCTCCTAACAACAATTTGAAAAATATGTTGAAGAAAGAAAAAGCAAAAGTAGAGCATTTTGGTAACCAAGGTCAACCAGCTACTGTTACAGGGAAATATCCTGAAGTTTTAGAAAACCAAGATGCTACAGATACAGGTCATCTTGGTCCTAACAATTTAAAAGATCTTTCAACGAAAGAAAACACTGTACAAGTAGAGCATTTT